AGCACTTAGTGTCGTGAACGGAACCTGTGTTCGAGAATGATTATGCATCGGGAGAGGGTGAAACTACTCCCCTTCACATTCGGACGCGACGTGCTAACTACTGTAGCACTGCGCACGTGCACCAAGATCAGTTTGACAACACATTTGTTGTTATCTGCATTCCAAGGTAGAATAGCCTTTCTTTTTGCGGCCTCGTTTAAGCGAAATGCACCTCTTCCTGTGTAGAACTTCATCACTGTTGGCTTTTCACAGGTCTTCCGTGACAAATGCTTGGATTTCTCTATGCCTTACTGGAAGTTCATACGGAGATTTTAACTTTTGATACTGTATTGTTTTGCTGAAACCTAAAACACTGAGGTCGTTTTAACAGTCTGTATTTATCAGTGACATTTTAAAATGACACGCATATATCGAGCGAGCGTTGAATACTAAGTGGGGATATTGTCGTGAACGGAGCCCTTTCTCTCGAAAATTTTTCCAGACCGGAAGAGAATCGAACCACCCCTCTTCACGTCCGGGCGCAATATGTCACCACTATGCCATTGGCCATTTTGCTCCAAATTCAGCCTGACAGCACATCTACTGTGTATCTGCTTTTTAAGACAAGATACACCTTTCTTTATTTCTCTTTTTCTTTGTGGCGGAATTTTGGCCGGCTTTTCGCGGGTATTCCGTTACAGATATATAGCCCTAGATCGAAGGCCTTGGCATATTACACTCCGCGTGTAAAGATTGCCCGGTAACATTATCTTCGGGCGGTCTTGGTATCCATTTTACTTCAAAATGCATTTTAGAAAGAACAGCTGTACGATTTGAATGTACTGGAAATGAAGGAAAATATAAAAGCGCTGAGTGATAAATTACAAGAAAGCCAGGAAAAGGAAGTAAGCTTGAGACGTGAGATGGTGGATTTGGAGCTGCTTATCGATCGTGAAAAGAACACAATAAAAGTACTCCAGTCCGAAATGAGCAAAAAAGAGTAAGTCTTTTATCATGATATCTTAGGATAAATTCACTAAGTTTGTTTTCGATCATCGCCGTTGTTCTGTGGTTGTGATGTATTATCTATTCTCCGATGTGCTCATAATTCGAGTACTTGTTTCCTTTGCTTTGTTCTTCCGGAGAGGAATTTCAGAACAAAATATCTTAAGGTGCTTTATCAAAAGTCATTCCCTACTCCCTCTCCTGTATTCGCCGCCTTTGAAGAAGCAAAAGTACTTGGAAGTGGATCGAATGGTAACGTGTTCCCAGTAGCATCGATCCATGGCAAGGCTATTGATGGCTTTCTCTCCATGAAGTAACTCAGAAGCAGACCGACAGCGATTTTGGCTCGTTGGTGTGCGTCTACACCAGAAATATGAGTCTGCCCCATTGCGCAAAACCCGCGGAAAGCTGGCCAAAAAGCGCCACAAAGAAAAAAGAAAAGAAAGGTGTATTTTGCCTTGAAATGCAGATGTGCTGTCGGGCTGAACCTGGAGCACAAGGACAAGTGGTGTAGTGGTAACACACGTGAAGAGGATTGGTTCGATTCCCTCTAATAATTTTTGAAGAGGATTCCGTTCACGAAATGCCCGGGTTATTAGAGGGTATCACATGTATGATGTTGTTGGGTCATTGTTTCTTTTTTCTGCGTTAATAATGTAGAAATAAGCTTACTTCAACATTATTTAGTGGGCAAATGAAATTTGAACTGGAAAAATTCGAGCAGGAGCGCCAAAAATGGGACGAGAAATTAAGACTCAAAAATGAAGAACTTGCTAACGCTCGATGCAACATTGACTGTGTTCAAGCAAAATGCTTAGAACTGGAGAAAACGCTTCAGTCCGTGGAAAGTCGGCTAGATAAAAGTAACTGGTTTGCTTAAAAAACAAACGCTGTCGAGTGC